TGCCTCATTTGATGAGAATGAAAGATAAAAATAAGCCCATTTGCCTTATGTGCCTAAAATCTCTTAGAGGATAAAAGGTACGTATGCGTATTGCAAAGATATAGCATTTAAATATCAAGGTAGAAGGATTTCTTATCTTATCACCTTCACAAACTTATTATTATTCTTGTTGATGATCCTGAACCCTATATAAGCTCCTTTTATCACATTACAACCAAACGAAACACATTTTTTCTTGCTAAACCATCTGTCTGTCCTGCTTATTTGCAAGGCCGAAGGCCACCTAACGGTGCTTTAAATGACGAAAGGCCTGATAATCGAGTTGTCGACAGCAGAATGAACAGAATTCACCTCACCTTTTGGAGACATGCCTAATAGAAAATTCAGTGAAATGCCATTGCTCTCCACTCATTTCATTGTGGTCACCTCATCTACATGCCTCACCTCGCCTTAAGCCACCTGAAGTGACTTTGTTCGTTGTATATAGTCTGTTGAAAGTTTCAAATACTCTTTATTCTGACTTTTATTAGTTTTGTGACGAGGTATTCTGAGACCATCTGCACAAATTAACATAAAACTACCCTTTCACTTTTGTATACACAAATGAATATCCAGCCTATTAGGGCTTCTATCCCAACCTCTCTTGGATATCTAACTGGTCTTACCAACTGTGGGAAATCAGACTCGACCATTCGTCTGGCTTCCGACAGTGGCATGGCCTCCTCTTCTCCACTGGCCAGCTGGGCGACAACCACAGCAACTGGATATCAGAACCTCTCAGCTTCTGTCATTAAATCAGGACGAGAGTCGGCCATCCGGGGCTCTGTCAGTAGGCCTCGACCTGGTCCACCTGGGCCCGCTCTTCTGAAGCCTAAGAGAACAAAAAGTGAGTTTAATTTCAATTATTAATTCCAGTGGAATAAAAAAATATTTGACTATCCATCTATTTTACAAATAAACAGTTAATCAATGCTCAGTCTCAATTGCAATTCTAGTGGTTTTTACCTGTGGTTAGATCGAACTTTACTTAAAATGCATTTGCCTTTAATTAGCTTTTAGTTAGGCCGTGCTGTTGTCTGTACTCTGAGTAGCCATTTAAGCCTGCTTTCGGCTTGAAAATAGGGCTAAAATGAATTGGTACAATTAAGAACATGATCAACACATCTTTCCCTTAAGACCATTCTATCCTCCGGATTGGAGGTAATAAGGGAGGGGACTTTTCAGAATCTCATCGAGTATTTATTAGTCGGTCCAACATAAGATAGTTTACAACCCTGCTGTCGAAATTGTGGCACCTTTGGTTGCATTTGCTGAATTACTGCCTATGTGTTTATTAATAATAAATATTATATCACGCTACCGAAGTATAATGCTTTTTCATTTGGCATTTCACGATATAATTTTGATCTAAATGTGCATCCTGCAGCGGGCTGTTTTTTGCCTCGATAATCAACACTTCTCCCTTAGTGTGGTTCAGGATGATTTAGCCATTGCTAAAGATGGAGTATTTAACCTTAAATAAGCATATTTTTACTATATTTTGCGACATGGATGTCCACATTATGCTTTTCTAATCTGCCATGGTGGGTGCTTTTACAACAAGTAAATCATAAAGAGAAAAAAGAAGCTACTTTGGATGCATTTTACGTTTCAATCCCTCTTGACACTAAACTTATCATTTTCGTTGATCGAGTCGTCGGAGTAAGCCCTTAGGCCCTAATCCTTTTTTTTATTCAAAAAGGCCTACCTTACTGTACCGTTCGGCTAAATTCGGAGCATGTATCTACTAGGCCTCATGCTATATTTATGACCTTAAAAGCCCCGTATTCCGCCAATGTCGCCACCTCATTTCTACTCATATATCCTCGTGCCTAGACCAGACTATGGGATTCGCCTGAAAAGGTTGGCTTACAATCCTTTTATTGTGTAATTTCCTCTAGATATGATTTTAGCTTTTCAGTTAATCACTCTTTTTTCTTAATCCAAATTTT